TGCCCCTGAAGAGAACTCTTTTATTGGTTAAAAACCATGTACATTTATGGTGCTGTTACACTGTGCTGTATAGTGTTATCTGGCCGGCACTACTGTTCTTATTTATACCAGAATAGAATAAAAGCAGATTTATGGTTATCTGCACATTTTAACACAGTGGTGAAGCATACCAGAGATCTGCCTCTTGCTAGTCGTGTGACTTCAATAAGTTATTTAACCTCCATGAGCCTCAAGTTCTTCGTCAATAATAGAATAATAATGCCTTCCCTACCAAGTCACTGTGAGGAGTAGGTGAAGTAAAGGATGTGAAGCACCCACACAGTAAGCTCATAATTAGCAGTAGCTATCATTATATTACTAATACAGCCTGGGCAGGACATAATAAACACAGCCTCAGCATATAACATTGTTCCGGTAAGAATCGTAACTAAGAGTGGTTTCCGTGGCTGAGTTGCAAGCACCATCTAAGCAGGTTTGGAGTTTGCTTCTCTGTGGATCTAAGAACAGTGTGTTTTACTATCATCATTTGGAAGTGAATTTCGCAATGAAGCAATGTCTTGGTTCTGGGTCCCTCCAGAGCAGACTCTAAGACAGAAGCTTCGGCTGCAAGTAGTTATTTAAAGGTGATCTCAGGGGGTGCCTGGGTGGCTCAGTCGTTAAGTGTCTGCCTTCAGCTCAGGTCGTGATCCCAGGGTCCTGGGATCGAGCCCCACATCGGGCTCCCTGCTCGGTGGGAAGCCTGCTTCTCCCTCTCCCATTCCCCCTGCTTGTGTTCCCTCTCTCGCTGTGTCTCTCTCTGTCAAATAAATAAATAAAATCTTTAAAAAAAATAAAGGTGATCTCAGGAAGCACAGTAAGGAAGTGAGGTAGGGAAGGAAGGACAACCAACAAAGGGTGTGTTAATGAGCAGGTTGGTGCTGTGGGCGACCATCACTGTAGACACTTTGACGCCCTCTGTGGAGCACAACTCAGAGTCAACTCATGAGAGGAAGGAAGCTCGGGTGTTTACCCACCAACTTCTTTCCATCACTGGTCAAGGAACACTGTTGGGGTATTGACTCCCCAGCATCTCTAGCCCAGCGTATGAATGTGGAGTGCACTGTTTTGATCCAGCCATGAGGGTTCAGGTGGAGACACTCAGGAAGTCACCTGTTTGCTATACGGGAACTGTTGGCAGGTGACCTCTAGGCAGGCCAAGGGCATGTGGGCAGGGCACCAACACCAGCTTCTGTTTCTAAATGATTTTAGGAAATAATGGTTAATTATTCTTAGGTGTGATGATAGAATTGCAGTTATGTAGGAGAATGTCCTAATTCTTAGGAGATACCTGCTGAAATATTTATGGGTTAAGTGTCATGAGGATTACAATTAACTTTCAAATGATTCGGCAAACACACACAGACACACAAAGCAAATAATAGCTAATATTCACACCTACTGAATCTAGAATCTAGATAGGGTTAAATAGTTGCCCAGTTTCAATTTTTCTGTATATTTGACATTTTCATAACTAAAATCTGAGGGAAAGTATTTAGCAGATATTTACCCCCTATGTGCTGAGTACTCTAAACATGGGGAGGCCCAGTGCCATCCAAGCCAATATGATGTCTTTATCATGCATAAATAAAAGACTTGGCTTCTCAAGTCATCTCCTGACATCTGTGGAAAATTGCTTTATTAACTACACAAATCTATGATGTCTACAAGATGAACGGTGCTCCCTGAATTCCACAAAATTAAGTGGGTACCCCGAGACATACAAAGATTTGCAAAACAAAGCTCCTCGTCTTGAAGGGCCTTACATTCTAGAAGGGAAAGTTAATAATGAGTAGGAGCCAGGTAGAGTGCACTCAGTGCTGGAGAGGGAGTTCAGATTTTTCAAAAATGATATCATGGCGCCCCTTCTGGAGAGTCAAAGAAGTGGTGAGTTTTGTCCAAGGTCGTAAAAGTCATTCCTGGAACATTTCTCTTTCCTAAAACTGACAGAAAGGGGAAACAATTCTGCCATAAATAGTGAAGCCTAGTAGTTAACCATTAAGCCTAAGTAGTCTAGGACTTGACATCTCCCCCAAGTAGGTCAGGCCCAGAGGGACAGGAGAGAGGCAGCCTCAAATTTGGAAATTCCTGGGAATGGAAACCAATCTGCTCCTCATCCGGCCCCGTGCACTTCTGGACAGAGAAGGGGGTCCAAGAACTGGCAGCCAGAGCCTGCTGATTTTGGTGAGCATAAGAAACACCTGGGGAGGGGCGCCTGGGTGGCTTAGTCAGTTAAACCTCTGCCTTCAGCTCAGGTCATGATCCCAGGGTCCTGGGATAGAGCCCCGTGTTGGGCTACCTGCTCACAGGGAGTCTGCTTCTCCCTCTCCCTTTGCCCCTCCCCCTGCTCGTGTTCTCTCTTTCTCTCTCTGTCAAATAAAAAAATCTTAAAAAAAAAGAAAAGAAAAGAAACACCTGGGGAGTCTCTGGGCACCTTTCCTTCACCAGTTCTGATGAGACTCAGGATTTTCATCTTTAACAACCTACCAGGTGACGGACACGGTGTTCAGGATTCTCATTTTGGGAACCACAGACTATAGACCAAGTGCTGGTGAGAGTGATGGAGATGGAAGCTCCTCAGCTAAGGCAAACGTGCGTAGAGCCTACTGCATGGCAGGTGCTCCAGAAACATCAGCAAAAGGAGGGGAGGGAGGGAGGGAGGGAGGAACGGAGGGAAGAGAAAGGAAGGGAGAAAGAGATGAGGAGGATACCCACTTGGAGATAAATTAGGGGTGCAAGCTGGGTGCTCCCCTGGAAGAGAATGTGTACACAGGGCCGTCTGTGGGAGATGGACTCTGCAGGTGCACGGGCCCCTTCATTCCCTGTGGAACGGGAATGAAGAACAGGAGAGGGAACCAAGCAACCAGCATGTAGGAAAGGCCTGAGAGGCACAGGTTTTAAGCCATTTTTTAACCAGGGCTATTCCCGAAGGTCTTCAAGCCATAGCCTTCACATCTGCTGTCACCAAGCTTTATGCAACAGAGGCAGCAGCTTGGCAAATGGCTGGAGGGTTGCAAGCCAGGAGGATCATCTAGCTGGTCACTGGGAATGCATTGAGGGTTTTAAAGTGACAGAAAAGCTGGAAATCTGGTAGTCACAGCCTAGCGACAATAGAGTGGTTC